CATAGAAAACAACGAAATTTAACAAAAGTTTTTTGTTCATAACTTTTAAATGGTTAATAATATTTACCCCCCTCCGGATTGTTATTAGGGGGGCCGAAACCCGTCGTTTGGTACCCCTCCCGACTTTTCCGCACCTTTTTTAGGGGTTGTTACCCCACCCTAGAGAATTACCATTTTTTGTTTCTTAAAAGCAACACTGCGTGCTTGGAAGGCGTGTGTACCAATAATTTCATCCCTAGCATATTCATCCCCGAGGAAGGCAGTCGCCAAATTCACTGAAGGTTGTTTACTGGTTATATTGTGGTGTTACTACATAAAATTTGTATACCTATTTTTGGATATCTTTAACTTAATCGAATGTTTAACTCCACGTCAAAAAACTTTTTAAAGCCGGTAAGTCTCGCAGTAACCCAAACCAGAGACGCCATGATCAATCTTGTAAGTACAGGTTTTATATTATATTGTTCAAACGACTAACCTTTTAACAACATTAGGCTCCAGTATCTGATTTAGACCCACAAATCTCTTTAGAATCTCCTTTAGAAGATTATGAGCGACTTATGAATACAAATGTTCAATCAGAAGATATAGAGGATGACGATGTGATGCGGAGTAACTACATAAAAATATCTAAAGCTGCACGCGATATTATTTGGCAGTTGCTTTTTGGGTCTCGCTCCGTGACGAAAAATGAACAAACTAAAATTGCAGACTTCATGAGTAAAGTGAAGGAGGATGCATGTTTTCAAGACCCGTTTGCTTATAATGAATGGATTAATGGTGTACGTGATGAGCTGTTGAAGCGGCAGATGCTTGACTTTTGGCGGGAACATGTGGTAGAAAAGGAATTAGGCCCATGCTGGGCTAGAGATTCGGACTATTTTGATGACATGGAGGATCCCGCGCCAGCTGCTTTCTACAATTATGCTGGTTGTGTTGCTCCATTTGGACAAGTAACCGGGGAAAGGCATAATTCAGCAATCGCGGAATTACCACAATCTGCGATTGGACATCGTTTAAATGTTAGTATACATATATATCGTGTACGTAGTGTTGTTATACACGTCTTCCTTTTTCAGCTTGAAGCAGATTTTGAAGCTAACATTTCAACTGATACACCAGCGGAAGACTACGATAATTTAATCAATATAAAAGTGCGAGCAGAACAGCTCGTCGAAGATGACGTTATCACTCGCAACTTCAATAAAATTGCCATTGTTGCCCGTGATGCTGTTTGGAAACTTCTGTTTTCAGATCAACCTGCTTCCGTCGAAAATCAAATAAAAGCTGGAGACTTACTTTATAAGTTAAAAGCTGATGCGTGCTTTTATGATCCTTGGTCTTACAATAAATGGATAAACTCGGTTCGCGACGAGCTGCTTAAGCGCGGGATGCTAGATTTTTGGCGTGATCAGATAGTAGCTAAAGAATTAGGACCTTGCTGGGCGAGGGATTCAGACTTTTTTGACGATATGGACGACACAGAGCCAGCAGATTTTTACAATCGCGCTGGTTGTGTGGCTACGTTCAGCAAGGCTGATAATTATGTACGTACTATTTATTAAACAATACGAGGTGCATTGTCTTTAGAACATCCTTAAAATGACTCCATATTTCGTTTTCTTTCTTCCACAAAAAAGAAGTTGACATCAAAAGGGTGAACCGAGCCACTTAATCACTTTGAGGAAGGAGTCATAATTCTTATGCAGTTCGTTCCTGACGAATCAAGAAGTGCAAGAGCCCCTTTATATAATTTCAAAACGAGCTTAAACGAAATGCAAACAACAGACATTGGACCATTTGTTTTAAAGACGAGCTTAAACGAAATGCAAAACAACGAACATTGAACTTTTTTTTTAATGGCGGTCCGTCTCAAGTTGGATTTACATTATATATTATTTTTAACCTACTTCACAAAAAGGAGAAGGTGATCAATTCGTCGGAATACTTTTTATTTTTTTAATTTATGTTACCGCATAATTTAGGACCTAGTTAACCGATTACTATAATTATTATATTTTTTTTTAAGGAAATGTTTTACCTCACAGGTGGTCCCTTATTAATTTGGTTTAAATCCGATAATCGGATAATGAAGAAATTAACGATAATCTTAAATTTTTACATGAGAATTGAAGTCGGTTTTGTTGTTTGCTTAACAATTGCTTGTTAAGATATTTTTGATGATTTTCGTTTTTATAAATGGTTCATTTTAAATCCGTTATATCTTTTACATCATAATTATAATAACTAAGATATAAATGCCTCACTTTATGCTTCATTCTGAATTGAGGTCCTTTCTTTTTCAATAAATTGTACCCTGTTTATACCGGGTTTCGCTCTGCGTCCAACATTTTCATAACCTATCAAGGCTGCACAACGAGGTATTATGTACTACAATATTTATATGTTACTGGAATAAATTTTAACTATCATTTTAAAAGCGCTGGCAGTCAGCGACGTAGCGTACGCACTATCAAGTAAAACTAGTATCATGTTTACAAATCTTCATGTCTTCGGGTTTCAAACGCAAAATACCTTTCTGGATGTTAGATCGCCTGGTTTAAAATTATCATGCCTATTACGGTATCCGACGGATTCCATCCGCACGGATCTAATCCGATTCGTACTGTCATAACAAGTGAGTGTGAAGGATTAGATTAATGCGAATCACAATATAACCAGTAAACAACCTCCGGTGAATTTGGCGACTGCCTTCCTGCCGTCCCTAAATTGGAGCGCTAAGCGTTGCGTTATCCATTGTCAAACAGTGTCATCGCGCGCTATACCCAAATCAACGCGTCGTAATTTTTGACGCTTTCTCAGGTCCTCCCGTTTTTATTCTTATTTCCTCTTTCACTTTTTTGTCCTTTCTCTTCGTCTTCTGCATCCAACTTCAGCACGTAACGCCCTGTCAAAAATGAAAATTCCATTTGCTCGGCGTTAGCCATTGTGTACAAATACAAGTGAGATATCTTAGCAATAGACGTCATCCTGGGCCACAGCTGCGATCATCTGTTTTTTAGAGCTGCTTATTTTGGTCTAAACTGCTCTTTTTTGACCTGAGTTGCATTAAATAGTCTTATACAACTTAGTAGTATTTGTGGTTCAAATGGTAAAATATATGCCCAAAAACTTGAAAAATATTAGATGATTGTTTTTTAAAAATGCTATTTAGTAAATTTCGTTTTGATTTCGACATTAGAAATATTCAGATTATAAAAGTTTTT